TTATAAAATTTCAAAATTTTAAAATGTAAAAATTTATTTTTTAAAAAAATTATATAATTTAACGATAGTTTTTCATTATGACCGTGGTTGTTTACTTATAATATATAATATAACTACAATTGTTATAGAAAACCGTGGTTATATACTTAAAATGCGTTGAGAATTGAACTTGAGACCTTTTATATATGGTAAGAATTTGGTTATTAACCTTGATAATATATCGCTCGCTTTCAAGGTTTTTACAACCGTCATAAGACCATGATTGTAAGTAGCACATATACAACCACGCCCTACGTAATAACGGAAGATCACACGTGATGTTATTCTTTTTCCAATCATTGTTGTATATGTTTTTCGTAGTAGTGAGGCGCGGATAGGACAATTGATGATAGTAGGTCTCATGTGGGTGAGGCAGTGAGCTGATCTGAAATATTTCTCAAAAAATTAATAAAAGGTAACAAGTTATAAGTGTCTATGCTAGTTATGTGGGTAATATTTCTTTTCAAACTTCCATTATTTGATGTATTCTACCTCACTTATACTAATTCACATAGAATTGAAAAATGTTATAGGATCTCTTTTCATGCTAGTTATATCTTCGACATCTATATTATATATTATGGGGAATAACTTTGATCGATATAGTAGAAAAATGATTATAATTATAAGAGGTATGACCGTGTTAGTATATATGTCACATGAAGTCATGGTTTCCTTTTCCTTCAAGATATATACCATATTTTTCCATTTAATAGTCATGGTGATTGTTTGGTTTAAATGTCGTTTTTTACACGCTGTTCGGTCTTCACACAAATCCATGGATACCTTTTAGCATGAGATTTTTCTTGGAAGTTTAAATGGTCTTCTTGGACCAGTATAGGTTCTATTGGGAAAAGAAATAAAGATTAGAGAAAAAATAAGAACACAATCACAACACAAGAACATAATATGAAAACTCCAAAATCAGAGAAATACTATAACCATTGTCAATAAATAACTTGAGAAATACTATGTGAAAATTATTATAACATATAGTATATCCTCAATTAACCCAGACCCCCAATACACCTATACCCTCCAAAACCAATATTTAACTACATCTCACTACACTCTAAAACAAGAGCATAAGAGAAGAAAGACATTCAAATACATACTTAAAATGCTTTTGACTGGTGTCTCTTTGAATTAAGAACTTGAATCCTATATATAGCCTTGAACTCCTTCTTTCTTAACAAAACTAAATACGAGACTTCAAAGAACATGTATCCTATATATAGCCATGAACTTTTTCTTCATTGAAAAAGTAAGCGATGTTATACTTCTTCAACATTTATATTTTCAACCAACCCCAATAATCTCCACTTTTATTGAAAATAATACATAAACTTTAACTGTTTTCACTGACAATGATACTTCATCATAAAGAGTATCAACATGTATATTTTCAACCTACCCCAAAAATCTCTAAATTGATTGAAAATAATACATAAACTTTCATTGTCTTCACCGACAATCAAACTCTACCATAAAGAGTACAGTCACTTGACACTAAACCACTCAAATAATTTTTACATTGTCTTCACTAACAATTATAGTTTTGAAAACTATCATACTCTCTCATGAACAATATATTTCACTTGAAGATAAACCAATTCAAGAATTTCACATTGTCATCACCGACAATCATACTTTATCATGAAGAATAAATTTCAATTGAAGCTAAACCACTCCAAGAATTCCACATTGTATTCACCGACAATCATAGTTTTAACATGTCAAATACCACTTCAATAAAAGAGTATACTTCACTTGAAGATAAACCACTTCAATAATTTTAACAAGTCAAATACCAGGTTGAAACATTATGGTGCAACTTCCTTGTTCGCAGGAAGCTCTTCAACCACAGACATAATCTTGCAGCATGTATAATCTTGATTGTGTCAAAACAACTTTGACTTAACTTTCCACAAGTCAAAAAAATTCTTCCATCAATTTTCTCTAGCTCAAACTGCACAGCGGAACTTATGACTGCATCTCAACAACTCTTTCACAACACCAACCTTCTTTTCTGATGTGGAAGATTAGATAAAACTGCAACCATAGAGCATACTAAGAACACTTATGCCCAGATCGAACCAAAAGCTATGATACCAGTTTTTGGAAAAAACTAAAGCATAAAGAAAAATGAAGAACACAATCATAACACAAGAACATAACATGGAATCTCCTAAATCGTAGAAAACCCGCAGTTGTTGTCAATAGACAACCAGAAAATAACACTATGTGAAAATTGTTGCAAAATATGATATACATGGTTAGAAAAAGAGAAAACTAACAGTAAAAGTGTACATGATAAAAACTATAAATCATTGTTCATAAATAATTCAACACACAACAGAATAATCTTATTATCTTGACAATAATGTATACATTAAAAATAGAAATTAGACTAAAAAATCAATTCTAAAAAATAGAAATACAAATAGAACTAGAAATTAAAAATACAATCTTGACTACAACATAATCTTATTCCAAAATCAATTCTAAACTAAACTAAGACACTTAATCTACAGAAACTAAACCATAGAGCAAACTAAACAAAACTAAGTTCCTGCAGAAACTAAAACTATCATAAATATAGAAATAGAAATAAAAACAACAATAAAAACAGTTCTACCCTAGTTCAGTGGTGAGAGAATGAGAGAGAACGTACGGAGAGAGATGATTAAGTGGTGAGAGATTGAGAGAAAACGACGGAGATACAATGTTAGACGGAGGGAGCACAACGGAGGGAGATGGTTCAGTGGTGAGAGATTGAGAGAAAACGACGGAGGGAGCGCGAGAGAGAGAAAGAAAGAAATACTGAAGTGTGAAATGAAATAATGAAAAGTATGTTTTATTTTTAAATAACTAAATACCTATAGCAGCGTTTTCTAAAGCGCTTTTAAAACCCCATAGAGCAGCGCTTTTTTTCTTAAAAGCGCTTTCGTAAATCCCACCTTTAGCAGCGCTTTAAGAAAGTGCTTTGTAAAGTCTGCCTAGGCCAGGACCTTTAGCAGCGCTTTCTTAAAAGCGCTTTCATATCCTCCCTATAGCAGCGCTTTTAGAAAGCGCTTTCGTATCCCCCCTATAGCAGCGCTTTTAAGAAAAACACTGTCTTTGCTGCACTGCCAAAATTCATTTTTGGCGTAGTGACATAATATACACTCAACTAACTCAGGCCTCTAGTACACCCACATCTTTTAAAACCAATATTTAACTACATCTCAAAATACTCTAAAACAAGATTATAAGACAACAAAGAAAGTGAAATACAAGATTAAAGTGCTTTTGACCGGTGTCTCTATATCTCAATAGTTTAATATTAAAAGTTTGATTTTAAATCATTTTATATTATTTTATGAATTTATATGAAATGTTTTGAGAAGATAGGCCAACATTAAGACTCTCATTAGTATCCCCCGGTTACTTTTGTCTAGTATATCGTATCTTAGAATCACGTGTCGATTATAACAATTCAAACTTTGATCTGATTTCAGGTTGTTGCAGCATGAGGAGTAGGTTTAGTCTTTGGTCCATCATTGGGAAGTTATTTGGCTCAGGTGAGAAAGGTTGATGCTTGCAGGTCATTTCAAATTTCAAAGCACTTTAAAATCTATCTTTGCTTTAATACTTTGTGAAATTTTAGAACACAGCCAACATTGAAATACTCACATCTATTTCCAAAGGACTCCTTCTGGGATAAGTAAGTAGATACTTTACTCTATAAAAACACTTTGTTAGTTCAATTTTGTTATCCTGTACTCTTTGAGAATATTTTATACTTTTTTGTTGTATTGGATTTAATTTGTCAAATCATAAATCTCGCAGATTTCCGTATTTTTTTCCTTGCTTTGCAATATCGACTTCTGCATTTGTAGTAGCAATCGCCTGCATTTGGTTACTGATATGTATCTTAAGCTCCTTAATCAAATGCTTTTCGGCTCATTCATATTGTGTGACTATATATATGAGTGCATAACTGTAGGAAACACTTCATTACCATAATGTAACAAGGAGTCCAGTGATAATGCGGAAGCTGCAGAAGTTAGGAAGTTAGGAGCAGTGAGACTGAGAATGACAAGATGAACAAAAAAAATACAAAAGCAATTTTCGAAATTGGCCTTTAATTGTTAGAATACACAAACCAATTGAGGTGAATTAATGGAGAATTAGGATAATTTGAAGATGAAGTTAAGAATTGAGAGAGTAAAATAGAGATAGAGTAATAGAAGATGAGAATGAAAATTGATAGAGTAATTGGAAGCACTAAATGCCTTTTACACAATATGTTCAAAATAATGAAAAAACAAGTATAAATATTGTGTATCTTTTACATTGTTACTTTTAATTTTATGTACTTTACATTCAAATATAAGATAAACGTTATTCCTCATTTATGAAAATATAAACTATAAAGAAACTTTGCATTGATCTAACAAATCTAATCAACTCCCTTCCTTATAATTTATTTTTAATGGTTACATTTTTCTCACAATTGTGTGGTTGTTATGTGGTGTTCTCTTTTAGTGGTCGGTTGACAAGTATTTTTTTCTTCTTGACATGAATTATTTTTGTATATGTGATTTTATTTTTCTGTTATTTTAAAATTGGTTTTCTTTGAGGCGTCGGTTTGAAACCTTTTATGCCTTACGTTATCTGTATTTTCCATCCAAACTTGTTATAAGCTACGTTATCCCTTCTTTCTTTCATATATATATATATATAAAATATGCCTTAAATAAATCTAAATAGTATTATGATATATCATTTCAAAAAACAACATTGTTATGAATAAATATTCTTTAGCATTTATTGGTGTACACAAGAGAAACGTACATATTTGTCACACAATATATATCAAACACAAAAAAAAAACATGATGATTAAGTGTGGAAAATTAAAAAAAATGACATGATGAACCCTCACTTAGCTACAAATCACATTAATATTAACCTATACTACCCCGAAGGCATAATACCTTGATTAATATCACTCTCACTACGTGATGCTAAAAAAAGGAAAGGATAGTGAGAAAGGTATCTCAAAGGCTTTAGCGTTAAGGAAGATGGAAGGAAAAGGAGTATGTATAGAAAAACGACAATGATAATAAATATCACGGTCATAACCAAAAACACATTAGCCAGCCAACTAAGATTACCGATAACAGTGTAGATACCAGCCATGAAAGCCAAAGATAACGAAATGAGAGCGATTCCAAGAAGTGGCATCACAATCTTGAGAGTGGGAATCAGCAATTCAATTAATCCAACTGTTCCCCAAAAGAGTATGATTGTTGCACTAATGGAACTGAACAATGATATTGTGATGAAGATGATGAAAAAGTGAAACATTGCAAGTTTTAAGTTATAGGCTTCTCCATCTGCTTGACCTGGAACAACCAAACATGCTGCTACAGATGCGGTCACTATAAGGGTTGAAACAATTATGGGATTTTCTATAGCTTCAGCATGGTCTAAATGACTAGTTTCACTTGTGTTAGGTTCAATATGAAGTCTAACTTTTCTTAGACCTTTCTTTGCACCAGCGGATTCCAGTGCAGTTGATGTAAGATGCTGTAAATGATGCAAACATTGTTAAAAATTTCAGAACCAGTTTTTAAGAATATTAAAATTACTATATTTTAGAGTTGGAGAATAATTTAATGAATGTTTTTACTATGCAACAATCATACTTATAAATTTATGAGCTTGTAAGAGGATATGACTACTTGCCTGTCTAAAAGATGATTTTCGAGCCTCGTAAAATGAATCAATAATGTCAAGAGCAGTTTCATTGTTGTTGTTAACCAAATCAAGATTCACCTTTTTTTTGTTATGGTTAACTAAATAGTATACAGTTGTGGGATAACATGATCTAGCAGCCAAATGCAAAGGGGTATCTCCTTCCTTATCCTTTTGATTAATCAGCTTTTGATGTTCAGGAAGTTCACTTTGTAATATGTAGCATACTACCTCATATTTTCCATGCATTGCTGCAATGTGGACAATATTACGCTCATGAGAAGTGTCAAGCATCTCTGTTGGATCTGGACAATATTCTAACAACTTCTTCACTACTTCCACATGGCCTCCATAAGATGCTAGATGGATTGGGAAATAACCATCTTCGTCCCTTTGAATGGTGCAACATTGACATAATCCAAGTAATAAATCAACACCTTCAAGGAAACCTATGGATGCAGCATAATGAAGAGGAAGCATCTTATGTTTGTCCCTTGTATGGATCCAAGTTGGCCTATGTCGTATTATGATCCTCAACATTTCTGAAACATAAACATAAATATTAGCTGATATTCTAAAATAATTGCTCATTTCCTAATAATATTTTGACATAACTTTGTAAGTATGTAATTACATACCTTGATTATGCATCAATAATGCCGCTATCAAAGGTGATAACCCCACTGGCATATCATGAGTCTTGCGACAATTCTCCAATATTACATGAACTTCATCCTTGTTTCCATTTTCAACTGCAAGATAAAGTACTGTTTTCTTTTCATGATTAACAATATCTACCGCATAGTCATAACAAGTATTTGACAATGACTTCTCAGACAAATCTTCAGTTTTGTATTGTTCGCAAACATTGAAAATAGTAATCCTATCAATATTTCTCTTGTGACATAACATTGCCTCATGAAACATAGTGTTGCCTTGATCATTCTCCAATTTCACAAAATTTAACAGATCCTTCGTATTTGACTTATCACCATACGCTTTTAAAAGCTTCTTAATGGTTGAGATGTGTCCATTTCTTGCAGCAACGTGTAATACACTATCACGGTTTTTGTTAAATTTGAACAAAAGTTTTGGAGCACGTTCAATTAGAAGAGAAACAATGTCATCATTACCATTCCAAGCTGCAATATGTAGTACACTGTTTTTCATAGGAGTCTCAATTTCAATTAGATTAGAAAATTCATCTAACAAATTCATTGGACCTCCACATGCCAAGTGATATGCTTCACTAATCAAATTAATTTGATTATCGAATTCGCAACATTTTTCAATGACATCAATGACTTCATAGTCTTCAGTTTCAACTTCTGATTCCTTCTCTTTACTAATCATCTTCTTTGACAAAGCTTCATCTTGCAATGGTTGTTTAAAAGAGAAGTTTTTTTCCGGATCCGTCATTTTCATATCTCAACCTGTTGATAAAAAGACTGTATCTTGAATATCTTCACCCTAAATTCAAAATGTTAATGAATATTTTGATATAAATATAAATTTATCCATTTTAAATAAAGAGTGTTCAGAATTATACTGTTAATATTATTGAAAAACATCAATCTTAATGTTTGAATCTTTAAAAGACTTCATTATATGTCAAATAAAAAATGCAAAAAAAAAAATGTAAAATAGAAGATGCATTAAAAGTACAAAATAATGAATTAAAATTTAATGACAAACCAAAGTATTGTTTGAACTGCTTCAAGCTCGATCAGCTTTCCCCTTGCGTTCTGGTTGCTATTGATGACTCTGTAAAATATAACTATCTTTCTCTATATAGTTTTATATTTGATTCTTTAAGTTCTTTACGTGTGAATTGTTAAGTATCTACTTTCTCTTTTCTTCTATTTAAGCCATTCCTTTGCAATTAAAGAACAATACTTTTATCTATTAACAATAAAAGATATATATCCTCCCTTTCTTCATTAGAAAGGATGAAACAAAGTGTGCTAGAAGATTCAGATCCCATAGTCCTCCTTTCATTTTCTAGACTTAAGGAAAATATTTTATTAGTATTATTAAAACATGTTTATTTAAGGATTAAATTCAATGTAACAAAATTTAAACATAAAGTGAATAATTAATTAGTAGAATGTAGTTTATGAGGATTTGTACATATTATCAAAATTTAAACATAAGGTGATATTTTTCAAAAAGTTTGACTTGCAGTTTTGAAATGGCCGACTTTCTCGAATTTCTTTTAAAAAACATAAAATAGAATACAAATTGTTTCATTATGTTTTTAATTAATATACTAATATTTAAATGTTGGAGAGTGTTTTCTAATCAAATTCGTCATGTATCTTTTTGTCTTATTATTAGAGGTTTTCTTGATATTTCATAAAATTACATTGACTTTTTAGAAATCTAACATAACTAGTCATGTTGATGGAGTTGATAAAATAAGTCCTAGACAAGGTATAACTTACATAGAAGCCTCCCATTGGGAGTTTCACAAGAAACTTCCTCTTCTTTAGTAGCACTCATTCATAATGCATTGGTTATGTCCATTTGTTGTTGTTGGGCAAGAATTTAAGGTTGGCCCAGTTTTGTGGGAAGTCTCACTAATAGCAGAATGTGGTTCCAAAATGGCAAGCTTACCTTGGCATGTGGGTCCCCACTATGTATTGGTTGACACACGTAGGGAGGGGGGGGGGGGGGGGGGGGGGTGTTCCAGTCTTATCAGATTGACGCTCATGGAAATCACCGACAGACGGCTTGGTTGCGCCACCGTAGGAACGACCGAATGCCTCATATTAAAAATTCACATTGGTTTTCATAAGACCAAATCCTTCTAGGATAGAGATGGATATGTGAGTGTTCACTATGTGGATGCATGTGGTCAATTCGAGGGCATTTCGGTATTAAATGTAAGACCATAAATCCCGAAATTTATATTTTAAGAATTGCACGACAATCTAAGGTTTCACCATCGACAAACCTCTAATAATCTAACAATTAACAAAACATTGCAGCGAGAATACTAAGGCTAATCAACACCTATCATCGCACACTCACCATCACTTAGGGTATCATTGTAGAGGTATCGTTCCTATTTTGATTTAAATAAAATAGTCATAACAAGACATTAGTCTCAAACTTTAACTTAAATTAACATTTAAAAAAAACAAGAGTTCTCATAATCAACTCTCAAAAACTCCAAAAAACATAATAATCAAATAGTATTTTAAATCCTAATGTTATAAAATTAGAGGAAGACTTCTAACAAGGAAAACTTAACAAAGCAACAGTAAGAGCTAACTTCCACTTACAACAACAAATTTTTCTCTTGAGTATATGTAAGATGTCCATGATAGACCAACATGAATGCTAAGATAGAAAACACATCACAAAACACAAATTCAATTACACACACAACAACCACATATTCTCACGCCTTTCACAACATCATGTACACATTTACATCCAATCAATAACATTATGAATAATACACTACATATGTCGTCATGTATGTAATTTGTACACCCTTGAATTTTATCTTAGCCGAGATATTAATTTTCAATGTTTGTCGGGATGGTCATGTTGGAGCCTCAAATCGGGACACATAGGCCAACCATTACTAGAAACACCGTATTTAGCCTCGACCATTTATCGACACTATAAGGCAAAAAACAGCCGCTACTAGCCAATTAGCCTCGGCGTAGCGTCGGTGTCGGGGGAAAGGCTAAAATGATTGAAGCTACCATTTAGCTTTGGCCAAAAAGAGCCGTGTCTACAGTAGCCTTGGTTTAGTTGTGTCTACATTAGCCTCGATTTAGCCGTGTCTACATTAGCCTCGGTTTAGCCGTGTCAAAAACAAAAAATAGATTGGGCCTGACTGAGGCTAAAGTCAAACTCCATAAGTCAACAAAATATTTAGCCTTGGGCCTGGTCGAGGCTAAAGGAACATTTTGCCTCGATTTATTCGAGGCTAAGTTCAAACTTCATAAGTCAATAAAATATTTAGCCTCGGCTTTTTCGAGGCTAAAGTCAAACTTCATAAGTCAACAAAATATTTAACTTTGGCCTAACCGAGGCTAAAGTCAAATTGTAAAAGTCAACAAAAGTATGTCTGCTTTCCAATTGTAGAATCTATACATGCTGACCATGTTTTCCAATAGATGACAATTATGTCATGTCGTGTTCTCCTTCAATCAATTTATCAAGATCATAAATAATTTTATGTCTTCTCCTTTAAAAAAACAACCAAAGAACAAAAGCACATATAACAAAATATAGATAATTAACAAATGACACATAAAATTCAGAAGCAAAAAGAAATTATGCTTTAACATATAACACATATGAAGTAAGAGTTATCAAAATATTACATAGATTGAAACAACAACAAAAAAAGTAGTAGCTACAACAAAAAACAGCCCCAAAAACTCGGAATACATTGAAAATCATGTCCAAAAAAATTTACATCCGAGACTACTTCTACTAACACTGCATGATCAATCTTCACTTAATGATTGGTCATCTAAATCATCATCATAGTAAGGATTTGACGATCGAATGACAACACTAGCAGATTGACCATTTGTAGCGTCAAGCTTCTGCATGATAAATGCCTTCAAAGCATTCAGTTCAGAATCCACCTTCTTAGCAAACTCATTAGACGCTTGATATTGTTTTGTTGCCTTCCGAGCAATCTCATTTGACGCCTGAATAGCTTTGGTAGCCTCTTCGAGTCGAGCTGATGTAGTTGCAGCCAATTTTTCAGCTCTAATTCTAAATGCTCTCTCTGATTCAAAGGATGTCCCAAACATAGATCCGCGGAAATTTTGAGGTTGTTGGATAAAGGATGTAGATCCATGCTTCAGATTGATATCTAAATCCGTTGTTCCATAAACCCGACCACGACTACGACCCCCAGCAGAATCTGTCCATAATTTAAAAACGGTCCCTCCATCTAACCTCTCGACATCATCTCCAGCTTTTTCCTTAAAAGCGGACTGTAAAATAGAAAAACGAGTCATTTCTAAATATAGGTTTATAAGAACCGTTATAGCAACCACTGTACCAAATAAAGAGTAAATTATACCAAATAAATTTGTAAATGTGGAGTCATTTGAAAATAAATATGTAAACATGATAAGAACCATTCAAGCATTTGTTGCAACCAACACCACATGTTAAATAAAAACTTAAGTTTCACATGTGTCAGATTATGAAATTAAGTTCCTGCATGAGAAGTCTATATAACCAAGGATTCTTATCATGTTTATACAAGACAATACATGAGTTATACAAGACAATACATGAGTTATACATGAGTTATGCAACCAACACAATTGTGCATAAGTTATACAACACAGTACATAAGTTATACATGAGTTATGCAACCAACACAATTGTGCATAAGTTATACAAAACAGTACATGAGTTATACACGAGTTATGCAACCAACACAACTGTGCATATGTTCAATTGTGCCTACATGAGTTATACAAGACAGTACATGATAAGTCTATATAACCAAGGATTATTATTTATTTGTTTTTGGTAGGAATACACCAATTGAAATTAAGTTCATAATTAATTAAAACTTACGTATGTAGACTCAGCACGATGATCAACCCATGCTCCACTTTTCTTCTTATGGGTCTTTAAAAATAACTCATCAAGGCGTACATCCCTTTGAAGTTCTTGGGTTTACAAATATAAATTAAAGTAAATTTGATAGTATAAATAATTAAAGATTGAAATAAAAATTAACTTTATTACTTACAAGCTCAAGCGCTATATCAACATGAGCCTTATGACCTGAGGTGTGGACTGCTCATCCTCTTGCTGAACTTCGATTGGCCTTGTTTTGAGAGGACAATTTCAAGCACGAATCACTCTTCCAATAAGTTTCAAGCTCATTCCAGGAATCCTCACCAATCCATGAAGGACGAGTCCCTTTTAACCTCACCTTCCTCATTATGTCATTTAGTCGAATGGCTTCCTTTGAATAAAAGGTTTTCCTGACAAACATCTCACATTGAGGATCCCATGAAACCTTGTCCTGAAAATGATTAAAATAGTATAAAATATTACTTACATATAGCAGGACCAAAGTAGAGGACAAACCATGGAGATTCCTAAAATAAACATTACTTACATCAGAATATTATCATGATACATTTACTATCTTCTATAATTATACTCAATTGTTTCTAGACTAGTATGATATAATATACTACTTCATCATCTATGGAATTATCATTTAAACACACAAGACATATCTCTTTAGTGAAAGGCACATATTCCAAAAGACAATGTAAGTGTTATCAATCACAAATCATATAAAAATAGTTAGTTAGGTCGGTTACAAACTGTTAAGAGGTTAGCTGCTTTATGAATCAATTAGTGAGGTTGAACTAAAACTCTGTCAGTTGCAAGAATGAGAAGATTGGTTAACTTGTGATTAGTTGTGCAATAATTTTATCCTAGTGTAGTTATTAGTTGATCACTATTCTATTAGTTATATGAATGAGGTTAGGTGGAGAATTGATTTGCAATTGAATGGTTGGTAAATGGAATTTATGCTACTGTTAGTAAAAGGTCAGCAATTTGAAATATGAGGATGTGTTAGGGATATGTTGTTAGCTCACTTGGCCCAGTTTCTGTGACATAATACCCTAGTTTGAATGCCTTGAAATTCCACCGCAGGACACGCTAGGTTGGCAGCTGACTCCTCGTGACCTTATGTTAACTTAGCTAACTACAACTGGAACGGTCCGATTCTAAATGTGTTAAAGGTTAGATGGTTATTGGTGTTAAGGAATTAAAATGGCTGCTGTGAATTAGATATAAGTTGTGATTCAACTAGTGCTTGGTGATGTTAGTATTGTTTGGTTTAAAAAGAAGTTAACTTGTTGTTATGTTGTCAAAGTTGTTTGTTATGATATGATATTACTCATCTCGGTTAAGGGTCAATTATCATTTGTTTACTGTATTATATGTCCTATATTCTCCTATAATATAAGTGTTTAATGTATTACATGTCCTATATTCTCCTATAATGTAAGTGTTTAAGGGTCAATTATCATTTGAAACTTTCATATTTGCACATTCTATCAGACCCACAAAGCACAAGCTGAGGCTTTTAGACAAAATTCAATAAATACTTACCGCAAAAAGAGCAAACCATTTTTCTTTGACATCAGCGGAAACTGCTGTCCAATTATAGAAACCCCTATAAAATTGTTTGTGTATCGCATAATTAATGGCATTTGCTACTTCTTTGACCGGAACAAGCCTACAATATTGAATGAAACCAAAGATGTCATATGATATAATGTTGAAACCAATGATAATGTTGAAGCCTGTTACAATATTGAATAAATATTTTAAACTTATCCTCACAATATTGAAAGATATCAACTTGTCATAAAACTGTTTAGCTTCTTCGTTAGGAAACTCATCCTCCAAAAATTCCTCTTGTTCCATGTTATCATTCGCGTGAGAGAAACCTCCATGAGGCCTAAATGCATCATACACCATTTGATACATTGCCTCAAACTGGTCAGCTTGACGCACATGTTCACTACTATTTGAGCCACCCCTTGTATCAATATTGAGCTCCACTTCTCCATGTTGAGTCCAAATCCAATAGTCTAGTTGAAATCCATCTCGATATAAGTGAGGTCTTACATTAGTTGTTGTACTTATCTTACAACACTTGCAATTTATGCACGAACACCTTATCCCTCCCTCAGATTTCCAAATGGGTTGATTCAAAGCCTTCTTTACAAACTTTTTAACCCCACGAACAAACTCTTCTTTCAATCTGTGTCTATCGGAATATGCTCTATTATACATCCAAGTACGATCCATTTTCTATATAGAAAACAATTAACATGTGAGTCACTACACATTAAAACATATCTTGTCTAAATTTAGAGGAACCAATATGTTTAGTGTTGTTCCAATTTTTGAACTTAACTGTACTCAAAATAAATACTAGTACATTGTTGATCCTACATTGTGTCCTAAACATCATGCATCAAGGTTTCAACCGCCAAATATGAAACCAAACAAAGTTCTGATGGGAATCTAGGTTGACCAACCTCCCAACAAACTTGGACAGTAAGCAAAGTAAAGATATAAGCATTCTTCATTATGTCATCAACGTTTGAAACTTAGTCTTGTCATGAATTCAACTAAACACACATGACAACACCCTTTCAACAGACCACACCAGCAAAGAACATACAAAGAAATCTACTAAGTCCCTACCTAGACTGCCTAAAACCTGTCATCATGGATTAGCAAACCATGATGCACAATGTGCCCTTCAAGTATGGAACACTTGATGACAATATTCAATACACAAAAATCCATGACGATGAGAGTTGGTCATTACAATGCCAATTACAAAACACATATGGTTTTAAAGATAGAGCTCAATGGTACTAGAAGTTGACAAACCTTAAAGCAAATGTTGACATAATTCTTGGTGTTTCAATCAACATTCATTGATGAATTACAACTATCATAGCTTTAACAGCAAGTTGTAAAAATAAGATGAAAGCACCATTCAAGCAAAAATGTTTTGAAAGTTAACAAACTCATGAGTAAAATCTGAACAGAAGTAGTAACAAACTTGGTGTTTACCAATGTCAACACTCATATTAATTCAAACATTGTTTTCAAAATCAATTACCAATTTGTCAAACCAACACAATTCTAACATGAAGATCAAGAGTTCAAAATATTGCCAAGTTCAAATCCTCCTACAACTAGTTTATTATCCATTTTAAAATGACAAATGCTAAATCCAAACAATTTTATGTTATGAAAATAGATTTGACAGCAACAAACATAAGCTTGACATAACAATGTCAATCCTCAACTCTCACCATCTGTTTCAATAGTATATATTATCACCTCTACAAAAGCAACAAACTACCTACATTACCCTAGAGACAATCTAAAAGCAACTGTCATGAGTTGAACAAACTCGCACCTCAAAACAAAATGACAGCACATTGTAAATTACAATGTCCAAATCACTCAAACTAGTCAAAACCTACATGATGGGGTAGTTGTCCTTTCACTAACAGGTTAGTAAGAGAAATAGTTTTGACAGCAACAAACATGAGTTCAACATAACAATGTTAATCCTCAACTCACCCTATGTTTCAAAGGCATATATCAGCATTTTTACAAAAAAAGCAATAACATGCACATACTACCCTAATGGCAGTCTTCCATTTAACAACCAAACATTTAGCATGGTGATGAGTTTTTAACAGCAACAAACATGAGTTCAGCAAACTCAGATTTCAAAATATCTTGACAGCAAAGAATACCAATTCAACATAACAATGTCAACAATTTAACAAGCCAATCAATACATACATGATGCATATTAATGAATAAGCTTAAAATGACAATACATTGGTATTCTATTTTATATTGCTCATAATTTTGACCACTCTCATATAGGCATTTCCTGGTCTGTGCACTGATAATAGTCTCATACAGTTCAACCGTAAATTGAAGAGGTGTGACTATGACTTGGTTGCATGGAGAAAAACTGTCGAGCCTCGATGTGGTAGTGAACTTAGGAGGGGCTTTGAACTGTTAGATTTAGATGGTGGAATAGGTTGGGAACTTCTGACTTCAATGGTTCGATACAAAGCAAGGCAAAGGTTGAATGCAAAAGAAGCATTAGCTCATCCCTACTTTGACAAAGAAGGTTTGTTGGCGCTATCTTTTATGCAAAATTTGAGGCTACGGTTCTTTCGAGCTACCCAGCAGGATTATGGAGAAGCTTTCAAGTGGATTATTCAACTGAAGGATGGCGGATTCACTGAAGCTCAACTCCAGGAACTTAGAGTATGTATCATATTCAACTAATGCCCTTTATTCTAATATCATATTCCCATTAAAACGGAATATGATGTGTTAATATCATAGTTTATCTTATAACAAAGTTATGACCACCCTTTATTCTAATATCATATTCCCATTAAAACGGAATATGATGTGTTAATATCATATGCCCTTTATTCTAATTTTTCCATAAACTCACATATTCAGAAATGCGTTCAATATACTTTCTTCTCTCCGATTGCCTCGCTGTAGTCTCTAACCAACACCGTCGCGCCGGAGTTTAGGCTCTGTTAATTAATCCAAGTTCAATTCAGTTGAGAGCGAGGATTGTGTTAAATCTCAGTTAGGGTTGGAATTAGAAATTCATGGAAAGTTAGTTAGAGTTAGTTGAATTATGTTATAACTTAGCTGGCATTGGGCTGTTAGATAGAGAGTTTGTTTAGTTAAGTGAGGTTGGAATGATAGGTGATGATTCAAATTTTTTCTAAAGGGGGCATTGAGATAGGTTAGTTATAGTGAAGTTGTTAATTGATGTAGTAATGTTAGGTGTTATGAAATGCAGTTAGAACAAAAGAAAAACACTAATAAATGTCTCCATGATAAATTTATTGTGTACTAAACTGCAAATCTATGAGTTGAATACAATAAAGTTTATACAAAAATAAAAGACTAACAGACAATAAACTTCAAATCTATGAGTTGAATGCAAAACATCATAATCACATAGCTTTTCCCTAAGTGGCTAATTCCATTTTCTTGCATGAAAAACATAACAAAATATAACCTTAAAATGGCAAATAACACAAACAAATTGTTATACCTTATCAGACTTAGGAATAAGTTTTCTGAGATTAGCAAGCTGAGTATTGATTCTATCTCTGCATCTTTTCTCTGCTTGACTATGACTCTTGAAAGCACTTGTAGCTCTATCTTCTAAACTTCCTTCAACAGGTAAAGGCCAAGACTAAAACTCACTACATTGAAAAGAAGAAGAAGAAGAATCAGAGATATTTTGAGGTTGAATTTGAGCAGGAAAGTGTGAATGATCAGTGTATTGAGACCAATAATTCCACTCAGAAGAATCATTGTGATTTTCCATATTCATGAAAATGGAAACAATTAGTTTTGTTTGTTGAATGAATGGTTATCTTTCTGAGGTTTTTATTTTCTATCAGAAACTACTATTTATTGTGTACTATGCAGTGATAATAATGAGTGACCTTGTTCTCCTTATCTTGATAATAATGATAAATTTAACGAACTTAATTGGAGTTTTTCATGAGTTAGTGAAACTGAATTCAAATAACCAGGACATTAGACACAACCTCGCCAACCACTCCAAATACAAGACTCGCATAAAATAAATTGCAAAGGATATCCAAAACATACAACATCATGACAATATGAACCAATAGCAATAAATAAAGGGCACTATTCAATATTCATTAAAACAGACCAATATATTGTTGAACATCAATAGAATGACAATTAAAAAACATGAAGCATAATCTGTCTATAGAAGCTTAATATGATTGATAATAACAGTCATGTACCTCAATTGCAGCTGTGTGATAGCGTTTTGTGTTTGAAATTCCCAGCGAGCCTTCAATAAAGTTATGCAAGAATCAAGACGAAGAGACATGAAAAACAGTGGGAAAAGGAGAAGGGAAAGGGGAAAAAGTACCTGATGAACATGAAACAAACAAAATCGATTTGATTCACCCTATCTCTCAACTATCATGTGAAGAGATGAAAACAAAGAGATGATCTTGCAGATGGGAATCAATGATCTTGAAGATGAAAACGAAGAGATGATCTCTCAAGGACCATACAAAATCGATTTTGTTTGATTTTAGGGGTTTTTTTCTTCTGAAAATCTATTTGGTTTAATTTTAGGGTTCTTCACTTTGAACATTTCAATTTGTATAATAGAGAGAAAGGGGATAAAGGAATTAAGAAAGAAACAGGAAAAATAAGAGTGGGAAAATGAATTTTGAGATATTATTGGAGCAAAATCATTACATAATACATCCATAAGGGATTATTAAAACGGTTTTGAACCAATGCTCCGATGAAAGATCTCTGATTTTAATCATGCCAAAGATTCTCAGGTATTAGAACCCAACTCACTTGGCTCATGTAAAGAATAAAGCAAGGCATACTCAGAATTTCCCAAGATCTGTGATCATCTAAAAACTATCAGGATTTGGTTGCTGTTGTCATGCCCCAAATTTTATCCTTAGATTCTTTGATCTTTTACATCATTATAAGTTAGCCATTTTCGCATCCTTCTAGTTGAACATTTCATCATTAATCGTGCTTTTTAGTCAATTTTATCGTTCCATTTTATAATGTGAGATGTTGGATCGAACTCTAGTATGGTTGAAGTCTGTTCGCGAGTAATTCGTGTTGTAGTCGAAGTTTGTTCTAACATGCATTAGCCAATATTGCTAGGGTTGTTATCATGTTGAATTGAGCCTTTCTTGTAAGCCCGGTTGTTTAAGTTAACTTGTACCCTAAGTTAGCTTGTAATGGGTAATTGTTAAAAATCCCATTAGGTTAGTGTGTTATATTTCTTATAAATAGGATACTAGTTTCTCAATCTTGATATAAGGAAAAATAGGAAGATAAAATCCTAATTTTAAGAGAGAGAGAGAGAGAGAGAGAGAGAGAGAGAGGTTATTTTGTTATTCTTGTATACTTGTAATCTTGTTCTAAGAGAAAGGAAAGAATAGCAGTTTAATAACCAATCCTTGTTGTTTTCTTCTTTATTAACCCTAACCCTTGTGTATTTCGTGATCAGTAAGAAACTGTTTATACTTAGTTTTAAGGTATCCGATTTACAACAAATTAGTGCGGTGAGCGTGGAGAAGATGCCTTCAACAAAGTATGAGATTGAAAAGTTCACCGGAGTGAACGACTTCAGTCTGTGGTGCTTGAAGATGAAAGCCCTATTGGTTCAGCAGGGTTGTTTGGAAGCGTTGAAGGGTGAGGCA